CCAGCCCCAAACCACCCCCAGCCCCAAAACTGCTCCCGGCCCCCGGCATGGCCCGGGGCAACCCCGCTGAAACGTGGGGCAACCCCTCAGAAACGTGGGGCAGCCCCTCAGAAATGTGGGGCAGCCCCTCAGAAATGTGGGGCAGCCCCTCAGAAACGTGGGGCAGGCACAGGCAGCAGCGCAGGGCTTTGGGATCTGTAGGAAATCCTCTGTAAAAGATGCAATCCTGATTTCCTGCATCCCCAGGAAATTCCACGTCCTCCCACGTGCCACCAGCAGAGAAATGCCATTAAAAGAAGGCCAAATATTCTCAATATTGGCTGCTGGAGCTGTAATTTCTTGTTAACATCAACACTTTAATACACAGCTGGATGAAGCTTTTTGCTGAATCTTTACAAAACTCTTGTTTTGTTTTGTTTTTTCCACAAAACCGCCAACTCATCCTTCCAAAAAACTTCCAAAAAATTTCAAAAAACCCATCTTTGCTGGTGGCAGGGGTGGGAAGGAGCCCTGCCCAACCACAGGAATATTCCCACAAACTCTTGGGGTGGGTGAGGCGGGCCAGGGAGGCTCCCAGAAGAAGCCCTGACCTTTGATGGAGATCTCCTTGCCCTGGAAGTTGTGCAGGTAGCGCAGCAGAACTTCCTTCCAGTAGCTCCTGTAGCTGATGAGGCCCAGGTCGGACAGGGGACGCTCGGGGGAGCCCACCTTCTCCTCCACCTTCGACAGCAAATAGCCTAAAAAAGGTTAAAAACCACCCAGACCCCTCAGAACGAGCCAGGGTGAAAGCTGAGCCTGCAGCAGAGGGCAGGGGAGGTCTCCTGGAGGAATTTTCCCCTGGGATTTGGTCCCCAGCACTTACTGAAGTCGATGAGCATTTTGCCATAGCCCTGTCTCATGTACTGGGGCATGGTCAGGATGCAGGACACGTTGTAGTTGAGGAAGGAATTCTTCTCCTGGAAAGGGGCAGGGAGAAAGGGCAGAACTCAGAGTTTTTATTCCTTTTAAGTGTTTTGGCATTAAAAAAACCCCACACAAATTATATTTAATATTTATTTTGATGTGTTTTTCCCCCGATTTCCTTGTCCCTGACGGAGACAGCACTCTGCTCCCCGGCAGCACCAACCCCTTGGAGCCGGTTTGGGTTTGCTGGGGGCAGCACAGCACCTGCAGCCCCTCAGCAAGCTTTATCAGCTCCCAAAAGCAGCAAAAGCTGAGGCTGCAGAAGGGATCCAGGGCTGGAATCCCGGTTTTCTGAGGTGGGAGGTGCAGGTTTGCCGCTGACCTTGGAGAAATAGCCGATCAGGTGGCAGCCGGTGTTGTCGGCCTCTGTCATGACATAGAACAGGAAGGGCTCCACGTCGTAATAAAGGGTTTTGTGGTCCAGGAAAAGCTTTGCCAGCAGACACAGGTTCTGACAGTAGATCTGGGCACAAAAAAAGGAAAGAGGTGTTTATTCCAGTGGCAGAGCCCAAACGTGAGCAAAACCACCGGGGAAAGGACAAAAAAAATAAAGAATAATTCAGGATATCAGAGCGGCTGTGCCAGGAAACAATTCCATCGGTGCTGGAAGTGGACAGGGCTGGGTGTGTGAGACACAGAGGAGCTCCTGAAGGAACCCCAGCCCTGCAGGAACCCCAGCTCCTGAAGGAACCCCAGCCCTGCAGAACCCCAGATCCAGCAGGAACCCCAGCCCTGCAGAACCCCAGCCCTGCAGGAACCCCAGCCCTGCAGAAACCCAGCTCCTGCAGGAACCCCAGCCCTGCAGGAACCCCAGATCCAGCAGGAACCCCAGATCCAGCAGGAACCCCAGCTCCTGCAGAACCCCAGATCCAGCAGGAACCCCAGATCCAGCAGGAACCCCAGCCCTGCAGAAACCCAGCTCCTGCAGGAACCCCAGCCCTGCAGGAACCCCAGCCCTGCAGAAACCCAGCTCCTGCAGGAACCCCAGCCCTGCAGGAACCCCAGATCCAGCAGGAACCCCAGCCCTGCAGGAACCCCAGTCCCAGCAGGAACCCCAGCCCTGCAGGAACCCCAGCCCTGCAGGAACCCCAGCCCTGAAGGAACCCCAGATCCAGCAGGAACCCCAGCCCTGCAGGAACCCCAGATCCAGCAGGAACCCCAGCCCTGCAGGAACCCCAGATCCACCAGGAACCCCAGCTCCTGAAGGAACCCCAGCTCCTGAAGGAACCCCAGCTCACCTTGTTCTTCT